CGGTCGATCTAGGGCTGCATGAGAAAATAGCTCAAGGAACCTTTGGCCTTGCTCTGATACCAAGTAGAAGTCACTGTTTGTAAATCAGGATGATTTTCTTGTGAAGAGAAAGAAAAAGAAGATGAAGAGTTTCAGCAGTAGAGAAGAAAAGAGAGGAAAGGAAGAGTGGGATGTTAACCAGAATTGAATTAGTTCTGGCTGCCAACCCCTCATTATATTTTATACTTAACTTAAAAGAATGAAAGATTACAAGAATGCCCTTAGTAGGGCGGCTACTAAAGTAGCTGAACAGTCACAACTTAAAAAACATAAGCTAATTGGCCTAAAGCCCCACAACTTCATAACTTAACAACTTAAAATAAGAACAAAAACAACTGGGCCCAATAACTTGAAATCGGCCCAACTCAACACGAACCATCTACATAGCCCTAGAGTCCTTGTCCTTAAACATAAAACTGGAAGCGAAACTTCACAGAGCATAGTTATTCCCATCAAATTTGACTGACAGTAAATCCCTTTTGTCTGAAGCCATTTCAGTTGGAAAAACAACAAGAACTAGAGTTGCAGCAAGTAAATCTGATCTAACAAGTCTCAGATCAATCACTACAGATCTGATGTAACTAAGAGAAATCATATTTTATGAAATAAAAGCCTCCAAGAAGTTTCTGAAAGATTGACAGTCCAGAAAAGGAGAATACAGAGTCGACTGCAAGAAGATGAAGTTAGAAACCATACCAACAAGGAACCAAACCTCAAAGCAGAGATATGGGAAGCAAAAGTAGGTCTAGGCGACACCAGATCTAAGGCTTCAAGGCTATCCAATAGAGCAGAAGAGAGAACCGAATCAAACACCAACCTGGTACTCGCCTTTCACTGGAAAACAACCAAGAAGAGAACTGATCGAAACAGTCATTAGGAAGTTACCAAATCAATCTCAGAAACTGAAGAGAAGAGATGACTTCTGATGCACTTTAATCGAAGTAAACAGCAGCCAAGAGCAAGAGCTTCCAGCCGATCTAGAATCGAACTGCACAGAGAAGTTGAAAGGGTGTGTCTAATGTGCACACACCCAAAAAGATGTATTATATTATATATTATTTGGGTACAAGAGAAGGGAAAGGACAAAACTGCCCTCCACTAAAACAAATAAAAAGATTTATACAAAAGAGAAATAAAAGATATTGTACACAAGGTACATGATAATATAATACTCCCAATAAAGTAAGCTCATAGTATCTCGACATGTTGTTACCTATTTTGCTACTCTTGAGGGACTTTGGGAGGAGCTTGAAACATACTAAAGATACATGCCGGATTTTTACTGATAAAAAAAAAAAAGATGCATCTGGATTTTAAATCCTCACCTAAAACCAGCAGCTCTAAGGAAGGACAAGAAGCCAAACTAAAGTAATGGACCTCTTGGGCATGTTGGAGGTTTAAATATTGCTGAGAGCATGCAAAGGAATGCAACTACCGGTGCTGCTTCTCATGTGGGACAGACTACTACTCATCAGCTTTCCAGAATTCACAGCCCAAGAGGTAGAAATCCTCAATTGGGCTATGACTCGATTTAGATAATCTTCTGTTGATTCCTAATCCTTTGCTAAGATAGGTACTGCTTCTGCTCTCAGTGTTATTCAGGCTGCATCTTCTAGCTATTGGGTCATTGACTCGTGAGCTTTTGAACATGTAACAAATAGCTCCTCTTTGTTTTCATCATATCATCTTGTTTCTGGTCAAGATAAGGTGAGAGTGGCAGATAGTTCTTTATCTGTTGTCTCTGGTAAAGGAGATATTCAACTTGGGAAAAATCTTTCACTCAAGCCCGATCAATAGCATCAAATGGATAACAAGGAACATTGCACTCACAACATAGTGGGTTCAGAGGTCATCCAACTCACTGGATGATTGTTTAGCTAAGCTAGGGTTTCAAGGGATCATTTGTTTTGGGCTAAATTGTAAACCATATAATAGGTGAGGGGTAGAAGCCTATGTATAGTCTGATTATCAGCTTGATAGTTAATTGAGGCTGACTCTTCGGATGCTCTTTTGTACCTTATAATTCTCTTTAATTGGTAATATTATTTTTGTTATTGTTACTGATAAAATATAGAAGGTGACTAACAGATGTTAATTTAGATGACAGAGGAGCAACAACAATCTCTTTATTGAAGCCTTTAGTTACTTGCATATATGATCTCAAATAGGAACAAATCCACTAAAGAAGCAACGGTGATACAATTAATATAAAGTGCCATTACCCAATGTTAGTTCTAACTATTTGGGGTCTTGGGAGGGTAGACTGGATATGGTCCTAATCTTTACCTTTTTTGCATAAAGTTTTTTTTTTGATCAGTAATCAATAAAATATTTCATTAAATATGAAGAAATATGGCATTGCAGTTTAGTGCACAAAGAAATACAGATTATCAAGAATTACAACTTCTAACCCACATCTGCCCAAAATGGTTGATCCCTGTATACCCCTTGTTTTTCCAGAGTATCAGCCAGCCATTTAAAGCTTGCCTCGAGCTCCTTTGCTAGGCTTTTGATTCCTCTGATTAGATATCTGAATATCCACACTCCTGGACTGCTGTCTTCCTTGCAAGAATTTACTAGCTTTGGTTCTCCCTTGACCTCCAGTTTCTTAAACCCCTGCTTCTTTGCTAGTTTCAGACCTTGGTGTAAAGCT